CGGGGACCCCGCCGCCCGTGCCTGCTCTCCCCATCCCTCCTGACCAGCCCACCTGAGCTCCCATTTGCATCCTGACCCGCACCGGCTTTATTTTCCTGCTGCATTGCTGTTGACATGGAAACCAATACCGCTTTCTGTTGCAGAGAATTGGAAGCTAAAGCTACCAAAGAAGTCGAAAGAAAACTAAGCAGGTAAGAGACTCATTTAAATTCCCTCCCACTATTTAGATGGAAAGGTGGCCTAGGGCTAGGAGTAGTTGTGGGCTTTATCGGGAGCTTTAATCTCTTGTTAATTGTAAGGATAAAAAAAAAAATCTGAATTTGAAAACGCTGTCTATTGCACGGGGAAATAGACAGCGTTTGAAAACGCTGTCTATTGCAAGCTTAGTTAATTCTGTAGGCTAAACACCTTTTTAGCTGTTTTTTTTTTTGTTTAACTACTTCAGATGTTTAATACATTTTATTTAATAGGGGAGGTTTTTGAAGAGAAAAATAACTTTTTTGCTCTAAGTTGTAGTACCTAAGAATAACTGGAAAATGAATGAAGAGTTTGGGGTTCTTTTATACACTTCAGCCAAATATTGTTTGGAGGAAAGACAGTTGTGGCAAGAACTGGATTAAACTCTATGTTGCCGTATAACTACTGCCTGTGCCTCTTTTGCCATGAAGAGTTACCTGGTGAATTTCCTGTTTACGTGTAGTTTTTAGAATGAGAGATTAGCTGAATGGGCTGGGGAGTTAACTCCTTAACTCAGAGTTCAGGGTCACGTTGAGGGAAGAATTCTGTGCCTTAAGGTGTATCTCTCTGTGTTTAAGCAGTTGTTTCTTCTGCACCGTTTGGTTTTGGTCAGGTGACTCCCACAAGTATCCGCTCTATGGGTTACATTCTTTGTTTTCAACTTCTGTCCTGCTTCCTTTTTGGGTTCTTTTTCAGTTAGACCTTTAAAGGCCTTTTGCTAGTGATCCGTTAAAGGGATTTCCACTGGGGCCGTTTGAGAATTGCCTGAACCCTGAGTATAGCAGATAGAATCTCAGGTTTGGTGCCCTGCTTTTTTCCCTCTCTCCTGAGCCCGAGCAGTCTCCAGCTTCCAGGGTGAGCTGTGATGGAATCTGAAAACTGCTTTGCTCCCCCCTGCTCTCAGTGCGTGTCTTCCTTTTGGTTTTTTTATTTTGCTAATACACTTGATGATGTGTAATCAGTGAATGATTTTCCCCACGTTGTTGTTGAAACGCAGGGAATATTTGGGGTGCCTTTGGCACGTTGCTGTTAACCCACAGCGTTCAGGGACTCGCTGCAGTCGCCGTGCCAGAAGTGATTTCAGAACTGTTATTCAGAGTGACAGAGTGCTGAGTTCAGAGCACTACTTGGTGCCAGTCATAGTAACTCAGGAGATCTTCACGTTTTTATGACCTTAGCAGAGATCTTGTCATGCTGGCAGGCAGTGCCGAGAGTGAGGGGAAGTGAAAGGAAACCACAGCGCTTCCAAAATTCGGTGCTTGGAGAGTAAATTCTGCTATGGAACGGGTCCCGTTCCTCTCTGACACAGAGGAGTATGTTTTATTCATTTAAAAGGTTCTGAACTGGTTTGAAGTTCACATTAATGCCCCGGCTGGTTTATGTTTAGCCAGGGAGCTCTCGTTGTGTGAGCACACAGCTGATAAACCATGGCATGCCTGCGCTGGGTAGACCTGATTAATTGTTTTACAGGGGTAGAGCTCAGCAGATAGCCCTCGTTCTTCCTCCAATGTCATTATTTACTGGCTTATTAAATTTGCAGTGACCTAGTGGAACTGTAAAAGAGCAAATATCCTTTCCTGGCAAGGTACACAGACCTGTGCTAGAGTTTATGTTAATCTCAGATTTCACAGTGTGGATGTAGACTGTGAACTCCACGGGATGTTGGCTTTGTTTTGTGTTCTGAAGTCACTTCTGGAGTTTATGCTTATAAATTAATGGGTAGCAAATACACTTTTTAATCTTGCTGGGAATATTGGCCTAGACTGTGGGTTTGTGATAGGAAAGTATTACAGCGTTCAGTGCAGCTTGCTTATCCCATTGGAGTGATTCCTGTTTCACACTCAGGATTAGCATTTGGCTTGTCTGGCCTTTTGGAAAAGAGTCCTCATTTCCTGTGTTCTCTCTAAAATTCATATATGCCTGGTGCTGTGCAAATATTCCTGGTCTCAAAAATCAGCTTAGTGCATGACTGGCGACAGTGATTAAATAAATCCATCCACACTCTGTTGTGGCATCATGTTACCGATTAAATGTCACCTGATCAGCCACAGCAAGAGTGTCTGCTCTTACCTGGGGAAACCTAAGAGTTAAATTTGGTTAAAATCAGGACTGCTACAAATCACCATTTAGTTCTTCTGATTTAAGGAATAACTTTTCAATTCTGTTTGGTAAACAGGGCTTTCCTGCCTCATTTATGTGGAACTGAGAGAAGGTAAATATCTGAAATACATTGACAATCATGTTCCCAAACCCAGAACTTTGGCTGTTGCTTCACAAGCATGCAAACCATAGGGAAGAGTCTCCATTGCTTCCATTCACCTGTGGTTCTGCCCACCTTGGCTGCAGACTGGCCATGTGTTGGGAGAGCAAGCTTCTCACCCCTAGCTTCCATCCATGTGCTCTGTAAACTTATCCCTGTACAACTGATTTTTGTGCTTTCATGTAATAATAACTGCCATATTTCTGTGATATTTTTCTTATCTGCTGCAGGGAAAACATAGAGCTGGCCCAGTGATAGAGACATATAAACCAGGGAGAAATGTAGTTGTTTCTGTTGATGTGTAAGCATTTGATTTTCTGTTGGGTTTCTGGGGGTGGGTCCTTTTCCTGATAAACTTCATATGGAGAGATATGTGCTGTGCAAAGGGAAGAGTTCATTGCAGAGAAAACATTCTGTTCATGCTTTCAGGACCTTTACAGACACTTGGGTAAATGACCCATCCTTTCCTGTTCCACAGACACCCCTGAGGCTGTGCAGGGCTGCCAGGTGTGCCCGTGGGGTCCCTTTGGTGCTCCAGGGGTGCAGCAGCAGCCCCTGTGCAGCAGCAGCACTGCAGCAGCAGCACTGCAGCAGCCTGAGAGGGGCAGGTTGCTGCTGGGC